CACCAGCCTCCTGGAGCCTTCTCCAGCTCCACGCGAGACACCACACAAACAACACACATAACAAAAACTCAAAACCGTCATCTGCCGTGTGAGAATGACCCATTCATTGCCAAAAAAGAAGTGATAGCCGTCAAGAGAGCCTAATCAGGATGTAAAATTGGATACGGGTAAATCCAATTGCAAACGTTCTCATGCTTGTTATTTAACACTAGTAATTTCAGTTTTTCAAATGCGCTGAACCATGAAACTATTTACCAACGCAACATCAAACTGGTTATATCATGATAAGCATATGGCACATCCTTTATAATAATGGCTATTCTTTGGTGCTTTCCCCCTCTATCTAAGTATTAGTAACAATAAATATTTACAAAGCACACTTAGACAACTACTCAAGACACACACAGAGGAACTTTATTACATATATAACTGCGTATAAGAGAACACGAACTGCTTGAACTTGGGAGAGGGCGTTCAGTTACGATCACATACAAGCTGGACACGACATTCAAACATAGGTAGCTGAATACTGCATGAGAACTGAGTCTCATTAGAAAACAACAACAAGCAACTTAACTGAACACACATCGGTGAACACGCACGACAAATGGCTTTAACTACAAAGATATACATAGAGTGTTGTAAAGAGAGAATATATATTGTTTGTAACCTGTAAAGATAAACATGGACATACACACACAAGGTCAGGATCCTCGTTGAAAAAAGAGATTTTAATCTCAATGAGTACCTATCCTGGATATATAAAGGTAAAAATAAAAAATAGAAAAATATCTTTGAGAAGACTTTATGTGTGGTGCTCAGTTTTCTCTTCCAAGAAGAGGTTTTTTATGTAAGACTTTAGCATGAATTATATTTCATTTCGATAGAGGGTCGTTCCTGATAAAAAACGATAGACTTCTATATTACATGAATAAATGACTTAATTAATTAGAACTATTTGTCGTTTGTTATTGTTGTTTGCGTCTTTGTATCTCTTTTTTTTCTCTTTGACACGACTATCATGCACGATGAACAACACTCATTATGCATATAAACATATAACACACAACTATAAACAAAAACTGGCTCAAAGTTCAACAAACACACGAGCTCCGGTGAAGATTTAGACTACACCTGATTAGAATGTGTATTGTGGACAGCTTATACTGAAGTGTTTTCTGCAGAGATGACAAACAATGATGCTTCCTTGAGCAGTGATGTTGGCTTTCGTCCCAGGTCTTCTGACGTCCCTCACTCTCCGAAGCTCTGCGCTGCTGCTTCACCCCCGAGCACGTCTTCATGTCCGGTGAGGCTCTGGTCTAAAGCTCGGAGCGGTTTGCGTCGAACAGTCAGGCCGAGACCATACACCCTGGTGGTGGACTCCAGCGTCGACAACACACAGATATGTCCAGAAGCTCCTTCACGATGGGCTCACAGCTCAGGTTTGGACTCCATGGAGTCCTGACCTCCATGCTGACAGCAAAACAAAGAGAATGATCGATGATGCTGTTACTAAAAAAATGCATCCACCTTTGAGACAAATAATCACCTGAAGTCCTCAAAGAAGTAAAAATAACAAAGATGTTGAAGGAAGAAAACCAAGGTATGCTCATAGAAGTTTACACAGTGTTTAACAAGGTACTTATCCTTATAGGTCCAAAGTATTACATGACCATGGTACGCATGGAGTTTGGGGGAAGACATTGGACCCTACACGGCACACAAAGTATTAGCTACATCCCAGAGACACTTTTTCTGACGGGACTAAATTCAAAGAGCTCTCTTCTAAAGTGGACCAAACTACGTTGACAAAACACAATCAATGATCCTCGATAAAACAGGGGTTTCAAGAGGGCCTGTACAGACGAAGCTGCGTTCAACCTAACCTGGATTTGTTTGAGCTTAGCCGGTTTGGTCTAATCAACATACGGCGCTCGTCGCAAACGTCCTACGACGCGGGTTAGTCAAAGTGGGGTCGCTCAAGCCACCCCGTCTATCTATCTTTACGGGTGCGGTTCACATGAGAGGGGTGTATAATTGGAGCATTCGACAATCACGAACATGGAGAAAGCGTACTGACAGAGCAGCGTCACACTTGCCGCCGAGGCCGCTGCATGAAAAGTCAACATTATGAAAGATTAAACTTAAACAGTCCATGACCGAAACAACTTATCCAGGATCAAAGCCACATAACTGCACCTGCAAGGTGAATACAACTGGTAAAAGAAAAAGAGTTTGAAGTGAATGCGTACATTAACAGGTTATGTATATCACTGCCCCGTCTAAGAAACGATCGACTTTAATTACATTTGTCCGAGTGTTTCCGTACAACTTAATGTGTTGCCTAAAAGTAAAGTACTTTCTGCATACAGGTATAGTGACACTGTGGATGTTGCCACCGGCCAGAACGGATCAGCCTGACTCAGATAAGGAGATATATGATACATTAGGACAGTCAGTTTGTTTTGTGTTGTTTTGGCGTTCTTGGATTCAACTCACAATAAACAGAAACATTCAAACCGATTGAGGCACAACAAAGTTAAAGCTGTGAAAAATATTCAAAATATAGTTATGAAATTTAAATGATAATTTGAGCTATTTTAAAGTTGCCAAAATATTTTTGTCATATGCCCGTACACTGGATTGCTTTGCCTTCAGTGCCCTCAGCTCCCTCCGTCTCTCAAAACTGAGATGTGCTGAGCGCCAATCTACTGTAGGTTAATACTCCGACTCAGGAATCACTTCTTCAACTCCCATCCCCTAGAACTTAATCAGATTATCAACATACATGTTCTTTAAGCACAATTGTCCAGATTTCACTTCATAACAGTAGATTGTAACATCCAGCTTTCTCTCATACACGCCTGCGTTGCTAACCCTGGTCCACGTTTGTCCAGCCAGCCTTGTGTGGAAGGCCAGCTCAGCCATGAAGGCCTGGTGTTTCAGCCACTTGCTGTGCAGGTTCCTGGCCTCGTCGTACGACGTGTCCTGAGCCGTCAGCATCTTCTCGTTGATCCACACAGTCAGCTGAAGCACACAGAGGAAGGGTGAGTATGAGGCATTAGCAACACACACAAAAACAACAGCTAAGATTCAAGCATGCACTGTGTTAAAAAAAAACTTGGGGAAGTTTTGGGAAGTCAGCATTTTCGATTTGTGTAGGGGTGACTTTCTTTGAGAAGGATTTATTTCTTTATCTTTTGAAAACAGAGCATTCACCAATTAGCCAAATAGGGAAGATATAAATAACAATAATAAAGTCACATTGTGTTGATTTAAACAACGTCAATTGAGTACAGTAGTCAACACTGTGGTGTCAGCTCTCATTGAAGATATCGTGAAGTTAATAATGAATGTGCTAATTGATGTTATCCAGTGATTACAGGAACAGCGAACTGACAGTGAACTCACATCCTGGGTGTTTTGCAGGAAGTGCTGCAGGTCGCGGTTGTCTCTGAGCTTCTCCGACACCTCCTGGGCTCTCCTCTTATTCTTGTTATGCCTGAAAGTCAAACACAAGCAATTTCATTTCAATTCTACCCAAGACTGATGTGGTGTTTCGGAAACGCAGAATGACTGAGAGATGATTTATTATGATGGACTCCTCCCCCTCACAGGAAAATACCTGACACAGTAACCCAGAACAGTTATCAGTGTCTCTGCTGCACCGTGAACAAGAGCTCTCACTAAAGATCAATATCCATTATTGCGGGCGCCTGTCTACCGTGTTGAATTGTGGGAGTTAATGGGACAAGCTCCCGTGCCCCACCTGTAATGCCTCTTGTTCACAAAAATGAAACAGCGATAAGAAAGCTGTTTTACTGCAGAGGCGATAGAAACTCTGAAATAGATAAATGTACGAAACAGAACTCTTTTGCGATATTAATCAAGGCCTGTACAGTATGAACCAAACTGGACTTAAGTGATGATAAAAGTCAGAATCCAGAGGTCCCTAAAGTTGGTAAAGAGGAGATAACAGATCACGCTGTACAGTTTACAATATTAGTCCCTAGTGTTTGTTGTTGATGTATTGTTGTTGATATTTTCACCTCTTAATTTCTACTGTGATGGAAATGATGGTACTAAAGCTTGATACACTGTAAACCTAATGAAATGTAAACTGCTGTATTCTGAAAATGTCATGTCAACGGTTTGACTGATTAGGTCAAATCCCTGGAGTGACCTTTGAATGTGTGTGAGTGATCAACAGATGTTTTTGGCAAGAGGGTTTTATGACACGACAGGAAGGATGAAGGGAAGGAAGCTAGGATACGGGTTTATCTGTATCCCTTTTGCTCTGTATTGAGTGAAGGTTTTGCATACTGTGTCTGAGGGGTATCTGTATATCCCATTGTCTTGTATGGAGTGATGGTTTTGCATACAGTGCCAGCGGGTATCAGCTGGCCTAACCAAATATTGTTTGTAATGTAACTAAGCTTTGATGTCCTCCTATAAAGGAGAGACTGTTTCGCTCTGAACAGTACGTGCTCTTTTGGAGGCGACGTCATACAGTACTTCAAGTATAAAAGATCCTTATTGCTTTTAATACGAATATTGTGTTGCTGTACGTTTGTTACCTTACCGATTATTCTCTCTAGACCACAGCTGATTTTAAAGCTGCTACGACACTACTGAAGATACTAAGTATTTTGCATAAATAAAAAGATTGTTATCAGTTTAAAAGGCATCATTTTAATGGTATCCGAGAGTAAAAGTAGGATTTTTTGAGTTGCTTTTTAATGAACTACAGTATGGGCATATGCTAGGTAAATACATGTGTCTTTTGGCAATAGACATTTAAGGAAAAATAAATAAACAAAAACAAGTAATAAGAGTGATTAATAATAGTAAATAAACATTGGTTTAAGGTCCAGGCAATTTTTTGTGATATGTTTGAATGCGGCTATGCGTATTATGTATATAGATATTTATAGAAATTAGATTAATTATATGATCACTTGAGAGATGCTCTTAGAAGTTTCACTTTGCTCTAAGTAGGAGTAATTCGTCTGATAAATGTGTCTTGGTGCTCACACTCAGCAAAGTGTTTTTACTCTTAACTAAAGAGCATTCAGTCAAGGGGGATTTTTGAAATGTTTGTTAAATATAGACAACAATTTCTACTGACCAAAACCAGTTTGAAAAGTTACACAGCGGAAAAGAAACAAACAGAAAACAGAAAAACTGCTACTGACCTGTCTCGGATTGAGTCAGTTTTATCCTGCACTTTCCCAGAGTACAGGTTCCTGCTGTCCACCAGCCGCTGGCCGCCCTGCAGAGCGCCGTCTACCTTGTCCTCGTTGGCCTCCATGGTGCTCACAAAGTCCTCATGCTTCTTCAGAGCCTTCTCTGCCCCAGCAGACGTGTCGGCCTTGTCTATGTGGGCCAATGTGTACTCCTGAACACGAAGTAGAGAAAGAAAAAGACCAAACACCCTTGAGACATACGACCGGCTGTGAGGTAACTGACCATGCTGCATTCCTGCATACCACATCTTTTAAATACCTCTACCTGTAATTACCTGCATCGCTAACCCCATCACAAAAAGGCTAACCCCCACCAAATGAGACCAAGGACTCTTCAAAACACTGACCATTTTGAGTTATAATCTGTAATGTGCATATTATTTACACTACTTAAATGTTATTGACAACTTTTGAAAAACATGTAATTCAATAACAGTTACTAATCAGAATGTGGGTTTAATTACAAATGGGTTGCATCAAAATAAATTAATTTGTAGTACATACTGTAACATTCATTCTGTTACCGCAGATCAATAAATACGATGGGACCAATAAGAGTGCAACACCATCAAAGTGATGTCTCCCAGGTTGCGCTCGAATAGTCAATTTTGCTTAGGAAGGTTGCTTATGGATTTAAATGACCACGAAAGTATGGAAATGGCAGCAATGATAATCTCTTTATAATCTCCTTTAGCTGAGGATACACTGGACGATCCTCTATGAAAGGAAACGTGACACAAGATTTGGTCGTTCACGAAAACAACCGATCGTGACTGAGAAATGCGTATCATATAAATCGCAGTGCTTATTAGCATTTTACAAATTATACCATAACTTGCCAAAGTGATAATAAATATGTTTTGAACTTCCAACACAATATTAAATCAAAAGGAAAGATATGAATGTTATGTTTATTACAGTAACATTATCAAATAAGGGCAACATTTAACAGTGTTTACTACGTTTTGTGGGGTTCACAGACAGTACCTATATTTAACTTCTTGAATCAGAAAAAGGGCTTCAACAGAATAAGATGTAATAAGTAACACTACTTTGATTAATCTTAAAGAATTGCATTTTGTAAAACATTATTAAAAGGGTCACTAGTAATATGTAACCCCCTCCCAACACAGAGTACAGTACCTGGTTGTTGAGGATGGCCTCTACAGCCTTGCAGTCCCTCATGAACTGCTGGAAGCCCAGACCCTGGTCCAGGAAACCTTTCCGGTTGTCCCACATCTTCTGCAGCTCGACCCACCCTCGGTCCAGCCCGTTGAGCCTCTGCTCCAGCTGCTGGTACTGAGGATCGTCCTCCTGGCCCTGGGTGACCTGCGTCCCGGTGTCCCTCACTTGGTGATAGTCCTCCTCGTGGTTGTTGATGTCTTCTCGCACAGCGTCGTGAAGGCTGAGCTGCTCCTCGGCCTCCGGCAGCGTGGCGGGACTTTCCTCTGAAGCCACAGACTTCTGGGTCTTGAAAAGCCAGGACTGGAAGTCGTCCATGTCTTGGAGGAAGGTCTGTAACTTGCTGACCTCACCCAAAGAGTCCTCTCTGTCTTTCAGAGTCTTTTTCAGCTCGTCCCAGGCTGCGTCCAGCTCCCCTCTGCGGGCCAGGATGTCTCCAGCGCTCTCCGGGTGATCTTTAGCCAGCTGGTCGGCCTCGTTCCTCAGGAAGGTGAGCTTGTTTTCGATGGCAGCCAGATCTCTCTCCATGCCGAACAGCTTCCTCTGGATGGTCATGACGGCTGCCAGGTCGTTGCCCAGGTCCACCGTGGACTCGATCACCCGAGTCTTGTCTTTGATCCAGGACTCTGTCTCGTCACACTCCAGCCCGTAGTTGTTCAGACTAGCGGCAGAATCCACTTTCCTCTTCTTGTCCTCCACCATGGCCTTGAAGGCCTCCCACCTGAAAAACAGGTATTTAATGGACCTTTGCACTTGAATCTGATTTTAGGGTATGTTTTAAAGCCTGCCATGAGCCCTTCAAATACCCTCATGACAATTAAAATCTAAATACAAATAATAACCTAAAAATATAATGTACATTTGTATTAATTTTAGGAAACGTGGCAAATCCCGTGGAAGGACAGCTTAATTTACTGTAAAATCAAGAAAGTTAATAAAATAATGTAATTTTTTTATTATAATTGGAAACTTTTTGTTGAGTTGTAAAATGTACTGTAGAAAGTAAATATTATATTATATACTACTTCTTCAAGATAACTAAGGAATTCTATAAAATAAGGTGTTGCCAAGAAATAATCACATTGTATAAGAACCTTTTTAGTAATTCATATCAGGTGTGACACTGAAAGACTGCTTGGAAATGCTGATACAAAACTAAAAGACTATAAAATATATGAAAATATATTCAAAGCACCTCTTATTCAGTCGCATCTGACATTCCTTGACCTCTCTAGTGCGAGGGTGTCTGCTGTCCTCGAGCTGTTTCACGGCTTGATTCACGTCATCAACTCTCGACTGAACATTTGCCATATCTTGAGCAAGAATGCTCAACCTGAAAACAAGAACAATGTAGATTAGAATAAACAAAGTGCAATGCACAAACTATGATACCAGACATGAAAAAAATATGCTTTGTATTAGTTTTTGTCAACATTTATTTGGTAGAACTATTTTTTCCAGAATCAAATCAAATGAAGACATTCAGGAAATTATAATAAAATGTTTTGTGTACCTATTCTGTACTACTTCCAGATCCTCCAGTTTCTTAGGCACTTCCAAACCCACCAACCACGTCTCCTTCTGCCCCATCCACAGCTCGCAGGCGTCTGTCTCACTGAAGATGGTGTACAGGGACATGGCGTCATCCAGCTTCTTCTGCCTCAGGTCGGCCAGAGACATGAGCTCCATGAACAGGTCCTTAATGTCTTTCAGGCGTCTCTGAATGTCCGGCGTGTTCTGCAGCTCCTCCGGCAGCGCGTTGGCCTGTTTGGACAGAGCATCTATGGTGGCTCCGTTCTTTGTCGTCTCATTCTTCAGGTCCCTGTGCTTCTTCAGCAGCCTCTGAGTGGTGTACTCGTCGTGGCCCACGTCGTCACTGCTCATCTGCCTCTTTGCTCCCAGCAGCCAGGCCTTGAGTTCATCTGCGTCTCCCTGAAACTGGAAGAACCTCTGGGTGTCCTGGAGGTTCTGTTTCCGGAACGCAGCCAGCTCCTCCAGCTGCTGCCACTGCCTCCTGATGTCGTCCATGCGTTCTTGGACCTTCGGGGAGCCGTAGTGCTCGGCCTCGATCATCTTCTGTCCTTCGGCCTGGACCTGGTCCAGGTTTGCACGGCGGGCCCCGAGCTCGTCCTCGAAGGCGCTGTGTTTGCTCTGCAGCACCAGCACACTCGTCAGGTCCTTGCCGTAATCCAGGGAGGAGAAGAGGTGCTCCTTCTCTCGGATCCAGCTCTCCAGCTCCGCCGTCTCCCACAGGAAGTTCCAGAAGAGGCGGGACTGCTCCAAGCGAGCCCTCCGCTGGGCCGCCAGCGCGCAGAGCTCCTGGTAGCACAGGTCCAGGTGCTGCACCCTGTCCCGGATCACCTGAGGATCACACGGCTTGTAGCCTGGGGGGGAAAGGAAAGTCAATATAAACATTACATATATTCAATATGTTATCTACTGAACCAATTTTAACCTTATATAAGTTTGTCAAATGTAGTAGCCTTTCTAAAATAAGAAGACATATATACTGATTGCACCTAATGTACTTTGAATGCAGGTGTTAAAAACATTATTTGATTGGATAACATGTAAGTACTTTTCAGACAGGATTCAAATCACTAATACATATATAATAATAATAATAATAATAATAATAATAATAATGATATGAGCATTGGTTGAAATGTTTTGATACCAGTGTCAGTATGACACCTGATTGTTTGCAATGATATCAAAGCAATTTATGAACTTTGACAAATAGGTGAACATATCTGATCAAAAAAGTATGTAAACAACAACATTCAAAGGATTTGATGATATATATTTGTCTTACCCAATGCAAAAGAAAGATTTTTTCAGGTGCTGAATACATATTTAAGCTTAAAGTGGACCTATCATGCTATATTTGAATAACATAGTGTAGGACCATACCTATATAAGGCATATTTATACTTTTTATTTTTCAAAATACCAAACAGATCATGCATTTTAGCCATTCCTCATTTCGCTCAATTTAACACTGTCTTTGCATGGGCTGATTCTGTGAGAACAGCACCATCTGGTGGGGGGTGCGTCTCCTCCTACCTTACGAGTTATGGACAGACGGTCAGACGAAAGATGTGGTCGGATGTTCGGGTGGACTGATTGTCTATACTGGTTATTACTGGTGTTTCTCTGTTGGAGCGTGTACCGGTGCTTCGCGTCACGTGTGTCTTGGTTGCGGGTTGGTCAGGTGGTACTATGGATTGTTACGTAGTGCTCTAGAGGACTAATTCTTCGTATAAGTACTCTTCCTTTATGTTTGTAGTAATCTCGGAGTCCGGTAGCGGACGATGGTCGTATATATTGTGTTATCTATGGTGTGATATTTTCACCTGGGGAGTGGAGGTGTGATTCGTGTTAATACTTATGTTGATCTCGATTTCTTGTTATTGTGCGTATAAATTATGAAATATAATAAGGTTTATGTTTGTCCAGTATTTTTTTTTTCGTAAATTGTATGAGGTATGTATAAAGGTAGTATAGATTGTAGCAGAATACGTTAGTCGCCGACTATGACACTTCTTGTCGTGTAGGTGTCCTGGTACCGTATAATGTGTCGTTCTGAGGTCGCGAAGGTTGTTCCGTTATCAGGTCACTGCGAAGAGGGTTTAGGACTTAACACTCTCGACCTGGGTTATCGGCATCCGGATGAATGACACTGGAGTATATTGGACAAAGTTTAGACCTAGTCGATGACGTGAGTCTAGACATACTCGTGGGAAAAATCTCTAAACCGCGAGACTGCCGTTTTCGTATCCGGCAACACAGGACAATGGACCTGTGTACGACACTGCGTAAGGGCCTTGTTTGTGTCACCTTGTGGATAAGTACATTATTTCTTGCATGTGTTCTAGCGTAAACCGGTACTATCCGAGTGGTAATCAAAAAATTAATACTTTTGTCTCGTGGATTTGTCTATTTCACGTGTGTCGTTTAAGTAACTGATTTGGGGGGAAAATGTACTCTTTTGTGGTCATGAGATAATCGAGTGTCGTGACGTGAAAAATAGAACTCAAATCTGTAGCATAGGGCTAGTGCCCAGAATAGATGGTGTGTGGATTCCATAAGAGACAAGGAGACGTGGGGAGGAGAGAGGAGGAGGAGTTCTGTGATAATCCAATTGCTGGAGTTTAGGTCGTCTGTCGCTCCGTTCGCTTCTTGTGCTACGGTAACTCTGCCTACTAGCGACGCATACTTCTCGCACAATTCCAGGACCACTTGTAGAGGTTCTTCGACTCAGACTCTCCATGTTGGCTGCGGTTTGTGGTAGCTGCACGCTTTCTGTTTGTAGGACGGCGTACACCCTGGATGGACGTCCCTCGACGACTTCCGAGCGTCCGCGCAGACCTCTGTCTTGACTACGACGTGCCTCCTAGAAGGTCCTCTTCGACATGTAGTAGTCGACCTACCCTGCTGTACTATCCATTAGTACTAGTAGTAGTGTTACTGTACATTAAGATTCTGAGGTTGACTAGTCTACCAGACGGAAGAGAGAGATCCGGGCGGAAGACAGAGGACCGGAAACCCTTTGTGGAACGGACCTTCCCTTCTGGGACGACGTTTTGTGCGAGACGACCTCTTTGCTGTAGCCGAACGCCGTTTTGGCTCACGTCTTCCGTCCGGCGACGCCGGAGAAGTCAAGCGGTGCGCTCTGTCATTCACGTCCCGAAGTAGTCTGGGAAAGTGACGAAAAACCAATCTCTACTCCTGTGATTTCTCTGGAAGAAGTCGGGTCGTGTATAATTTCCACTGGATAGTACGTTTTACGTGAAAACATCAGAAAGTATGTACTCATACACAGGGCACAAGGTCCCTTGAGTGTCTCACACTTTTTTGTGTTGGGAGAGATAAAAGGAGTATGGGTTTAGGAGTTTTTTTCCCCGACGTTGCCTAAGACTATGGTCTGACTAGTTCTAAACTTTTGAAGAACCACTAAGCAGTGTCTTCACCGCGATGCGCGATAACGGTTGAGGGGTTAGTCCGCTCTTCGTCGGTGCCTGTTAAACGCCACTGTTCGCGACCTCTGCGACATCATTGTATCCGNNATATATATTAATAATAAAGAACAAGTATATTGGCATAGTTGCAGCCCTTTCACTCTGTACAAATTCTTACAGGTTGAATCTCAGTCTGCACAGTAATGTAAACAAACAGATGCCAAGTGAGTGCTTTATTCATCTTACCAGTAGGGCGTTCCTATAAAAGACTTCCTTTTGGCAACGGAAGCGCTGATTTCTGCTGCCACTCCAAAATCAGCTAAAACAGAAGAAACACAGGGTCACACTGGAGCTGAGAGGATATAATCCATTATGGATGCTCTAATTAAACACACTTGATGAGTGTGACTAGCTTAATGGATATTGCAGATGTGCACAAGTGTGTTTTCAGTACTGACCCAGTTTCACATCTCCTCTCTCGGTCAAAAGGATGTTGGCTCCCTGCAGACAGAACAGACACACTAGTGTTCACACGATTACCCACACTATAATCATGTATGATCACAACTATACGGCAGTGAAAAAGCCTGAACAAATGGATGTACCTTTATGTCTCGATGCATTTTGCCAGTTTCGTGCAGGAAATACAAACCCTGAAAAAGCACAGGATGAAGATGAGCTGTTAGGCAGTTTCAGAAAATTAAGAATAGTTAAGAATAGGCCTTTAAGTAATAGTTGCAAGCTTAATTGATTACACAAATAATATTTTAGGATTAGGTTCAAGGGGTGGTTGATATAACTGTTAGCCACTTGTGTGATCCAAACATTGTCAAATGCTCAAAAGTGTCATGAACTCCAAAAGCTACAATTTGTTTGAAAAATATAGATGTAATTATTTTTTATCAACACTGCTCTCACAGAACAGCGTGATGACATTAATGTAGAATTTTATTATTATGTCATTTAAACTTCTTTTTATTGTATTATTGAATTTGATTAGTGTGTTCTAACTGTTTGTGGCTATAGTTTTACTATTTAGGTGCCTCTAAAGTCAGTGATCGGACATCATTTCTTTATAGCCTACTGATCGTTATATTTGTGTTTTAAAAAAACATAATTTCATTTAAGTATAACTCAAATACCCTAATCTGACATAGAGAAAATAAAATATCAGAAAATAACATTTCAGACAGAAAAGGAATTCTGAAACAGAACAATGGCATAGAATTTCCAGGAAAGGGAAAAACCAAGAGTACTGACAATATGAATCCTAATGCAGTGACTGCTCTGTCTTCTCTTATACTCATCAGTCTGTTTAGATAAGGTGGGTGAAAGAGTCCTTCAGAGATATATTCTTGCTTAGTTTTTTAGGTAAGAACCAGAGTGTCTTAGCCTCTAATTCAGTTGTTTGTATTGTCTACAACCTGATTATCCAATAAAACTGTGCATTGAGCTGAAGGTCACTGTGTGTTGTTCTGCAGCTAAATCTACCTCTACGGTATATTTAGCCATCTGGCGAGGTTAAATACTAGTTAGCTCTTCAGTGGCTGGGAAAACATATGAGTCATCTGACAGCAGAGTATCTTTAGAGTCTTCAAAACGCAAAAAGCAACAAGCTGCCTTCCACACAAAAGCCTTACCTGGAGGGTTTCTCTGCACACATAGGCTATCTGTTTGTCCTTTAATGGGCCCGTCACTGGGAAGAGGAGTTTGATTAATAGCTTTTAGAAGGGGGAGAACACGAAAGAGCAAGCAGGTACATTTCTAAAAATAGATTCCAGCTGGCTTTTCAGAGCTCATAGTGCTTCTTCCACATCTGTTTTACAGGAATTATACTCCTGTCTCCAGAAGATTGGCGGTGATTTGACATTTTGGAAATCATGTCTGCGGTGTAACCCAGAGGGAAAAGATGAAATTGAATTTAGAGATAGTTCAGCACATGTGTAGCCTAGTGTCGAACAAATATTACAATCAGAGGAAACAGAGCTAAATGTAGGAACTGAATAACAATTGGAATTGGTTTTCATGTTCTTCCCACTGTGCCAACATGGTAGGAATTTGACATTTCCCCATTCTGTTCATTTTCAGGTGTATATCAGTATGTAGTGTCTCTACTTTAAAGAGTCCTCTCCTGCTGATGTTCAGGTGTATATCAGTATGTAGTGTCTCTACTTTAAAGAGTCCTCTCCTGCTGATGTTCAGGTGTATATCAGTATGTAGTGTCTCTACTTTAAAGAGTCCTCTCCTGCTGATGTTCAGGTGTATATCAGTATGTAGTTGAACATCACAGCTGATAACGCCTAGTAAAAGTTTGTTTTAAAAGGAGTCTAAAGAGGATTGTAGAAACACAGGAAGCCATGACGGCGTGTATGAGCAACAGTTTGGCAGCAGCTGCTTCATCCTGGAGATGTAAACTGTCCAGACGCGTCAATCTCTGACTAAATGTTCAGGCAAACATATCATTATCTATTAATGCTTCCAAAGAAGAAAAACAATGATGAGAAGGAAAGAAACATCTTCACCATGTGTTACTCAGCAGGCTAAACACAAAAGCTCTATATGTTGTTCAGATTGTAATGTAGTAATTATTATCCAAGATGATATACTTAAATGCAGAGGTGGAGGAAGTACTCATATCTTGTACTTGAGTAAAAGTAGAAGTCAAAACATTCATCACCAAGTACTGTACTTAAGTACAATTTTGAGGTGCTTGTACTTCACTTGAGTAATTCCATTGTATGCTATGGACTTCTACTCCACTACAAGTTCAGAGGTAAATGGTGTACTTCTACTCCACTACATGTATTTAATACCTTTAGTTACTTTGCAGATGTGGATGAATGATGTGAAATATAATCAAGTGTTAAATCAGACTTTAGTTCCACCTGGAGTAAATCCACAAGCTACCCTGCAGTATACAAAGTCATTCAAACTAGCTGCACCTTTACCAGCTTTGAGAACACTTTCATGATCAATCATTAGAAAACATATCATATATATTATTCTGAAATGGACCAATCTGCACAATGACTACTTTTACTGTCGCTACTTTCACTATATTTTGATGAGAATACTTTTCTACTTTTACTTGAGGAACATTTTGAATGCAGGACTTTTACTTGTAAGTATTCTTGCACTCTGGTACTTCAACTTTTACTCAAGTACAAGATCTGAGTACTTCTACTTTTACTCAAGTGCAATACCTGAGTACTTCTCCCACTTCTGGTGAATTGTAGGCAAATAAGGGAAGAAGTGGGATTGACCAAGTGGGGAGTGTGTGTGAGATCCTTGTGGCTGGGAACAGCAACATTGGGGCTGTTTCCCGTGCTCGAGTTTAATAAATGACCACACCGGGTTAACATTTTTTGGCTCCTTG